AAAATCGCATAACAGCCGAGCATACACCCAGCAGCGCTGCTGATGCCTGAACGGTATGTGGAATGAAGTGGGCGGGCATCGGGAGGCCACTATGGCACGGGGCAAGCACTATGGGCAGTCTATCTGAAGTGTACCTGGCGTATAAGACGACCCCCCACTTGGAGGCATATTTTTCAGGGCCAAAAAATCGTCTTATACGCCGGCAAATACGGTATTCCTTTTAGCAGTGTGAACTCCTTTTCCTCTACATACTTATTAACAATTGGTAATATTAGACTTCTAAATTTTGAGGGTTTGAAATGTGTAGTTTTATTTTGCATTTCCCTGATTCCTAATAGTTTAAGTATCTTTGTTTTAAATATATTTTATTGATTTTTTTACAGAGAGGAAGGGTGAGGGATAGAGAGTTAGAAACATTGATGAGAGAGAAACATCGATCAGCTGCCTCCTGCACACTCCCTACTGGGCATGTGCCCGCAACCAAGGTACATGCCCTTGACTGGAATCGAACCTGGGACCCTTGAGTCTGCAGGCCAACGCTCTATCCACTGAGCCAAACCGGTTAGAGCTATATAAGAATCTTTTTTTTAAAAAAAATATCCTCACCGAGGACATGTTTGATTTTAGAGAGGAAGGAAGAGAGAAAGAGAGAGAACAAGAAGTGATTTGAGAGAGAAATATTGGTTGATTGCCTCCCATACTCTCCCCGATTGGGACCAAACCCTCAACCTAGGAATATGCCCTGATTGAGAATAGAACCTGCAACCATTTGGTGTACGGGACGATACTCCAACCAACTGAACCACTTGGTTAGGACAGGATAAAGCATCTTTTTATTTTTTCATTGGCCAATTGCTTTTTTTTTTTTTTTCAATTGCTTTTTATGTAATGGAAAAATTATCCAATAATTTCAAAAGATTTCCAGTTAATAGCAAGAGGCCTTTCTCCTTCATGCCAATTTTCTTAAACCTTAATATATATACTGTGGGAGCCTGGCCCGTATGGCTCAGGGGTTGAGCCTCGACCCAGGAACCAAGAGGTCACTAGTTCAATTTCCTGTCAGGGCACATGCCCAGGTTTCGGACTCCCCCGTAGAGGCTGTGCAGGAGGCAGCCAATCGATGATGTTTCTATTTCTCCCTCTCCCTTTCTCTCTAAAAATCAATAAAAACATATTTTTTATATATGTATATATGATGGGGATTACAAGCAAAGTTGTAAAATTGAGAAACCTTTAAGAAATTAAAAACTTGAAACTTCCTATAAATGGTTTTTTAAAAATTACAACTGTCTGGAAAATATTATGCTAAGTGAAATAAGTCAATCTGAGAAAGACAAATATCACTTATTTGTGGAATCTAATGAATTGACCAACAAAATAAGACCCAAAGCATGGAGGCATGGAACAGATTGACACACCTCAATGTGGGACTGGGACGAGAAGAGATAAACCAAAGAACTTATATACTTACTAGAGGCCAGTGCAGGGATTCATGCATCAGTGGGGTCTCTTGGCCTGGTCTATGGGGATCTGGCCAAAACCGGCTCTCCAACATCCGCAGAGGGGTCCTGGATTGTGAGAGGGTGCAGGCCAGGCCAAGGGACCCCACTGGTGCACGGCCAGAGAGGGACCGCGGGAGGGCTCCAGGGTGTGTCCAGCCCAGCTTGCCAGTCCCATCGGCCAGACCCCAGCAGCAAGCTAACCTATGGGTGGGAGTGTCTACCCTCTGGTGGTCAGTGCACATCATAACAACTGGTGCAACAGTGGAACACGGGTTATCAGTGCACGTCATAGCGACTGGTCAATCGGCTGATTGTCTGCTCCCTGGTGGTCAGAGTACGTCATAGAAAGCAGTTGAGTGCCTTAGCATATCATTAGCATATTACGCTTAGATTGGTTGAATGGATGACTGGACATTTAGCATATTAGGCTTTTATTATATAGGATTATTACTAACAGTCCAACAACCTAAACAGTTAATATTTGTAATTAGTATTATTTTTTAACAGACTA